CTGCATATAGGCAGTCACTACTTGATGTTCCTCAATGTTTTCAGCTTGAGAAACTCCTAGCCCTGTTTCAAGATATCCAACTAAAGGGTCTTCCTTCTCTTTGATACTTTTCTCTCATTCCCCCAGGCAGAGCTAAGTATCCAGAGCTTCTGTAACACACTACCTATATACATAACATACTTAACCCATTTTATCACCTTTTTTTGCTAAATACCCATATCTCGTATAAGACTGTGAGCTTGTCCAGGACAAGACTTTGTCTCTCTGCTTTCATTCCTGTAGTCCCTGGTACACAGCTGGTGTTCAGATATGCAGAACTAACAACACACTCACTGGTGGGCCTTGGGACAGGAAGTGATGGTTAATGAAGGGTCTGGTCACAAGAACAAAGGTAAGAGGGACAAGGAAGGAGATTGTACCAGAGTGGCATTCATGAAACCCTTTCTTTTTTTCCAACTTTTATTTAATAATTATAAATTTTCGGGGGCTGGTGCTGTGGCTCACTTGGCTAATCCTCCATCTGTGGCGCCAGCATCTCATATGGACACCAGGTTCTAGTCCTGGCTGCTCCTCTTCCAGTCTGGCTCTCTGCTGGGCCCAGGAGTGCAGTGGAGGAAGACCCAGGTGCTTGGGCACCTGCACCTGCGTGGGACACCAGGAGGAAGCACCTGGAACCTGGCTTCAGACTGGTGCAGTGCACCAGCTGTAGTGGCCATTTGGGGGGCGAACCAATGGAAGGAAGACCTTTCTCTCTGTTTCTCTCTCTCACTGTCTGTAACTCTACCTCTCAAATAAGTAAATAAATAAAGTCTATAAAGAATAAATAAATTTCCAAAGTACAACTTTTGGATTATAGCAGTTCTTCCCTCTGTAACCTCTCTCCCACCCGCAACCGTCCCATCTCCCAATCCCTCTCCCATCCCATTCTTCATCAAGATTCATTTTCAATTATATTTATATACAGAATATCAACTCAGTATATACTAAGTAAAGATTTCAACAGACTGCACCCACACAGACACACAAAGTGTAGAGTATTGTTTGAGTAGTAGTTTTACCGTTAATTCACATGGTACAACACATTAAGGACAGAGAGATCCTACATGGGGAGTAGGTGCACAGTAACTCCCGTTGTTGATTTAACAATTGGCACTCTTATTTATAATGTCAGTAATCACATGAGGCACTTGTCTTGAGCTGCCAAGGCTATGGAAGCCTCTTGAGTTCACCGGATCCAATCTTATTTAGACAAGGCCATAGTCAAAGTGGAAGTTCTCTCCTCCCTTCAGAGAAAGGTATGTCCTTCTTTGATGGCCTGTTCATTCTGCTGGGATCTCATTCACAGAGATCTTTTATTTAGTTCCTCTTTTTTTTCTAGAATGTCTTGGCTTTCCATGCCTAAATCATTCTCATGGGCTTTTTAGCCAGATCCGAATGCCTTAAGGACTGATTCTGAGGCCAAAGTGCTGTTAGGGTATTTGTCATTCTATGAGTCTGCTGTGTATCCTGCTTCCCATGTTGAAGCATTATCCTCCTTTTTAAGTCTATCAGTTATTGTTAGCAGACACTAGTCTTGTTTATGTGATGCCTTTGACATTTAATCCTATAATTATGATCAATTATGAACTGAAACTGATCACTTTGACTAGTGAGATGGCATTGGTTCATGACACCTTGATGGGATTGAATTGGAATCCCCCAGCACGTTTATAGCTCTACCATTAGGGGTAAGTCTGAGTGAGCAGGTGCCGAACTGTACATCTCCTCCTTCTCTTATTCCCACTCTCATATTTAACAGGGATCACTTTTGAGTTAATTTTAAATGCCTAAGAATAATTGTGTGTTAATTAAAGAGTTCAACCAATGATATTAAGTAGGACAAAAAATACTAAAAGTAATGAAATAGTAAGTTGTTCCTTGAAAGTCAGGTAAGGGCTGATCAAGTCATTGTTTTTCATAGTGTCGGTTTCACTTCAACAGGTTTCCTTTTAGCCCTTTCAATAGTCAGGCTTCTTAATGTACCATGTCTCATTTCTAAATAAGAACACAAAGAGGGAAAGCAAGAGTTTTATTTAATTACACCACATACTGTCTAATCCTCTTCAAAGCTCTGTGAGGAAGGCACTGCTGATCCCCTTTTAAATACGAAACTGTATGAGGTGGGAACCTGCACTAGGCCATATATCAAGAACAATAAAGCCCCAGTTCAAAACCTGCTCTGTTTGCCCCAGAGCCTTGTTCCTCCTGGGGTTGGAACCCTAGGTTCTAGCAGTTAGAGATGTGGGGTATGAGAGAGGGGTAGCTGGTGAAAACCGGTGGTCCTTTTCTTTGGGCTTACCTTCATTGGGTGCATCACCACAAGGACTTGTCCTGTGTCACTAAGGACACTTCATACTAACTCTGTGGCCTCATGCTGTGATTTGTTAACATAGGTCCTGTGTCCTGGTTCACACTAATGGTCATCTTAAGATTTACTTTGCTGTTCTAGTGTTTAAGGTAAAATTTGGTTTACTGATCTGATATCTGTATTCCTTAATATATACCTGTATAGCAGTAAAATTCCTCATGTGAAATTAGGCCTGTTAACATGGAAAACTCTAAGGATGTACCCACTACTGGGAACATACTGAAGGAAATTAAATCATTATGTAACAGAGGGATGCACAAGCCTATGCTTATTGCAGCAAGATGCACAATAGCCAGGCTATGCAGTGTGTATATGTATGTATGGTATACATAGACCAGAACTTCTTAATTCACTTTTCAGTTGATCAGCATTTTGGTTCATTGAAATATGCCTGTTGAAGCCATTTGCCCATTTCTTGAGTGGGTGGTTTGTTTTTCTGTTGCTGAGTTTCTTGAAAATATCTGGTAGTAAACCCTTTATCAGCTGCATACATTGCAGATTAAGTTCTACCATTCTGTTAGTTGCTGCTTCACTTTGTGGAGTGTTTTTTTTTTTTTTGGTGTCCTCTTCATTAATCTTTTATAGTTCTCAGATATTGGACATCCTTGGTTAAATTTATTCCAACCTATTTTATTTTCTTTGTAGATATGTGAACGGGATTAGTCTTTGAAATCCTTTCTCAATCATGACCTTGTCTGTGTATACAATAGCTGTTGATTTTCTATCCTGCCGCTGTACCAAACTCTACTCTGAGTTTTAATATTCTTTTAGTGGAGTCTTTTGGATCTCCTATATACAGGAGAATAGAAAATGTCAACAGTGACCTCAGAGGCTACCTTTCTGTATTCTGTGTTAATGGGGTATGTAATGCATATAGTATCAAATTCTAGATAAACTCTAGTAGTTGGCCTTGATGTAGTATTTTCTTTACAGTGAGCTAGGTTTTACTTTTTTAAAAGTCTTATTTATTTATTTGAAATTCAGAGTTACACACAGAGAGGATGAGAGGCAGAGGCAGAGTGTCAGAGAGAGAGAGAGGGAGAGGTTATCCATGTGCTGGTCCACTTTACAGTTGGCTGCAATGGCTGGCGCTGAGAGGATCCAGGGTGAGGAGCCAGGAGCCTCCCTGGGGTCTCCTGCATGGGAACAGGTCCCCAGGACTTGGGCCATCTTCGACTGCCTTCCCAGACCATAGCAGAGAACTGCATCAGAAGTGGACCAGCTGGGACTCGAACCGGCTTCATATGGGATGCTGGCACTGCAGGTGGTGGCTTGACCCGCTACCCCCCAGCGCCAGCCCCTCCCGGAAGCCGTTCATGGTGGGATCCAGCTGTCTGCTAACATGCCTGGGAAAGCAGAGGGAGACAGCCCAAGGACTTAAGCCCCTGAACCCAGAATGGAGCACCAGAAAAAAGTCCTTGGCTTCTTCTTTGGCCTGTCCCAGCCCTGGCCTTTGTAGCCACCTGAGGGGTGAACCCGCAGATGGACGATCACTGAGAGAGAGAGAAAGAGTGCTGGCAATGCCCCCTGCAGTGCTTCTCTTCCCCCAAACGGCTTTGACAGCCAGCACTGGATCAGGCAGAAGTCAGGAGGCAGGAGCTCCATTCAGGACTCCCACGAGGGAGGCAGGGAGGCAGGGAGGCAGGGAGGCAGGGAGGCAGGGAGGCAGCGAGCCAGGGAAGAGTACCCAGGCCTCAGCGGCTGCCTCCCTGGATCACAACCTGGAGAAAGAGCAGCTGACTGAAGCGGGCCTGTGGCTTCGGGCGCTGGATGCGGCAGTGCACAGAGGCGTCCCGTGGCGCCATGGCGATGGCCAGTGAGGAGTGCGCCTGCGCCCGGTGCTTTGACCCGGAAGTGCACCCACAGGCGTGGCCGCTTCTGCCCTCAGTGCATGGGTGCGAGTCAGGGCCGTGCCCACTCCTGCCCACGGCTTGAGCGAGCCTTGAGGAGCCGTCTTTGACGCTGGTGGCCAAACCTGAGGAGTCCAGGGCCTCCCAGGCTCAGGCCAGGATCAGGTGAGGCTGCGGCCCGAGGCGGCCGCATCAGTTCCTTGGGCTTCTGGAAACTTCCAGGCGCGGTCCTCTGCTTCGGCCCCTTCCCGAAGACTACACCTCAGGAATCGGTTCCTGTTCCTGAGGAACAGAAATGCTCTTTGTGAGGGGATTCGGCACGGTGGACTTCCCGTCACGGGGTAGGCGTGGCTCGAGGTGCAGAGTGCGGGGAGGGGGTGTGTGGGGGTGTCACTGGGTAGAAGGTGGAGGAGAGGAGGACAAAGGAGAGGCGGGAGAAGAGAGGAAGTGGAGAGAATGAAGGTGGGGAGGCGAGGAAGGGAGGGGGAGAAAGGCGTGTGGGGGAGAGGAAAGGAGGGAGAGAGTGACGGGAGCCCCGGGGGTTGTGTGGGAGGGGGGTTGGGAGCTGGGTCAGTTTGGGGGGTTTTCTGTGCCTGGCCAGATGTAGCCTTGGCGTCCGTAGAAGAGGCCTTGACTCACGGCCTCTCTGCTCCAGGTTGTTCAGCAGTGTAAGGTTGTGTGTGCAGGAACACGGGGGCACGGGGTGCTTGAATTAATTGGAATGTAATCCGGTGAATTTTCAGACTGCACACATGGAGGAGAAAGCAGAAGCTTAGAGAAACGCCAAGAATCCCTCTGTGCTCTGTTCCAGCCTGTCCAAAATTCTGACACCTCACAGTAAGTACTAAGTATTTTTTTTTCCTATGGAATAATTGGTTTGCAAGGCAGAGTTCTAGATGAGGCGGTGCAGGAGAGATCTTCAGGGTATGGATTCACACCCCAGGTGGCTACAATGGCCGGCGCTGGGCCAGGCGGGAGCACAGGCCAGGTACTTTATCCAGTACTGCAGTGCGAATTAAGGTGGCCCAAGTCCTTGGGGTGCTTCCTCTGCTTTCCTAGGCATTTGAGCAGGCAGCTGGATCTCAAGTTGGAATAGCCTGGGTTGATGGGGGGTGGGGGGTGGGGTGGGAGCAGCCGTGGCATAGTGGATGAAGCCACCCCTGCATGTACCAGCATCCCACATGGGCGTTGGTTCGAGTCCCAGCAGCTCCACAGAGTGGATGTGCCATGTGGGTCTGAGAAGAGTGTTGTGTTGCGGTGCTGTGGACAGAGCATCCTCGAAGGATCCGTTCAACACTTGGTTGATTCAGGTGCTGTTCTGTTCAGCTACATCCTTACTGATGGTCTGACTGCTGATCTGGTAACGAAAGAGATGTCTTGACGTCTGTGAGTGTAATAGTGCCTTTGTTTATTTCTCTTTGTAGTTTTAACAATGGTTGCTTATGTATTTTGGGCTGAGGTTTACTTTTGGATTCACTATCCTACTCTGTTGAAATGTGTTTCTTCTGTTGTTTCAGGAATCCCAAAGCAAGGTCTTGGTTATTGTAGGTTTATTGAAAGTCTGCAAAGACAGTTGTCATTTCACCCAGTTCCTTGTTTTTCATGGTGAAGTTGATAGTCAATTGTCTTGAGTTTTCCTAACTACATTCATGTTTGTTTTTTTTTTTCTCAAAAACCTCTTGCTGGAGGTTTTTTTCCGTTGGTTGTTTTTTTTTGTTTTGTTTTGTTTTTTATTTAAATGGTGTTGAACCTAGAACCATTTTAGAAGAAATGTTATATTAATAATATTCAGTCTTCCAGTCCAATGCACAGCGTATTTACTTAGATCTTCTTTAGTTTCCTTCATCAGCATTTTAATCTTCAGCCAACATGCTGTGTATTTTATTGATAGAGTTTTCGTTTCAGTAGGCTATTTTAAATTTCAAATCAGTGTCTACCTGTTGATGATGGTACTATACAATTGATTTTTTTTAAACTTTTATTTAGTAAATATAAATTTCCAAAGTACAGTTTATGGATTACAATGGCTTTCCCCCATAACTTCCCTCCCACCCACAACCCTCCCATCTCCTGCTCCCTCTCCCATTCCATTCACATGAAGATTCATTTTCAATTATCTTTATATACAGAAGATCAACTTAGTATATATTAAGTAAGGATTTCATCAGTTTCACCCACACAGAACATAAAGTGTAAAATACTGTTTGAGTACTACTTATAGCATTAATTCACATTGAACAACACATTAAGGACAGAGATCCTACATGAGGAGTAAGTGCACAGTGACTCCTGTTGTTGACTTAACAAATTGACACTCTTGTTTAAGGTGTCAGTAATCTCCCTAGGCTCTAGTCATGAGTTGCCAAGGCTATGGAAGCCTTTTGAGTTCGCTGACTTCAATCTTATTTCGACAAGGTCATAGTCAAAGTGCAAGTTCTGTCCTCTCTTCAGAGAAAGGGACCTCCTTCTTTGATGGCCGGTTCTTTCTACTGGGATCTCACTCACAGAGATCTTTCCTTTAGGTTGTTTTTTTTCTTTTTCTTTTTCTTTTTCTTTTTCTTTTTCTTTTTTTTTTTTTAGCCTGAGTGTCTTGGCTTTCCATGCCTAAAATACTCTCATGGGCTCTTCAGCCATATCCAAATGTCTTAAGGGCTAATTCAGAGGCCAGAGTGCTGTTTAGAACATCTGCCATTCTATGAGTCTGCTGTGTATCCCGCTTCCCATGTTGGATCGTTCTCTCCCTTTTTGATTCTATCAGTTAGTATTATCAGACACTAGTCTTGTTTGTGTGATCCCTTTGACTCTTAGACTTATCATTATGATCTATTGTGACCTGAAATTGTTCACTTGGACTAGTGAGATGGCATTGGTACATGCCAACTTGATGGGATTGTGTTAGAATGCCCTGGCACATTTCTAACTCCAGCATTTGGGGCAAGTCAGCTTGAGCATGTCCCAAATTGTACATCTCCTCCCTCTCTTATTCCCACTCTTATATTTAACAGGGATCACTTTTCAGTTAACTTTAAACCCCTAAGAATAATTGTGTGTTAATTACAGAGTTCGACCAATAGTATTAAGTAGAACAACAAAATGCTAAGAGGGGTAAAGTATGAAATTGTACATCAACAGTCCGGACAAGGGCTGATCAAGTCACTGTTTCTCGTAGTTTCCATTTCACTTCACCAGGTTTCCTTTTTGGTGCTCGGTTAGTTGTCACCAATCAGGGAGAACATATGATATTTCTCCCTTTAGGACTTGCTTGATTCACTCAGCATGATGTGTTCTACATTCCACCATTTTGTTGCAAATGACCGGATTTTATTGTTTTTGACTGCTGTATAGTGTTCTATAGAGTGCATGTCCCATAATTTCTTTATCCAGTCTACTGTTGATGGGCATTTAGGTTGATTCCAGGTCTTAGCTATTGTGAATTGAGCTGCAATAAACATTAAGGTGCAGACAGCCTTTTGTTTGCCAATTTAATTTCCTTTGGGTAAATTCCAAGGAGTGGGATGGCTGGGTTGTATGGTAGGGTTCTATTCAGGTTTCTGAGAAATCTCCAGACTGACTTCCATAGTGGCTTGACCAGTTTGCATTCCCACCAACAGTGGGTTAGTGTCCCTTTTTCCCCACATCCTCGCCAGGATCTGTTGTTGGTAGATTTCTGAAAGTGAGCCATTCTCACCAAGGTGAGGTGAAACCTCATTGTGGTTTCGATTTGCATTTCCCTGATTGCTAGTGATCGTGAACATTTTTTCATGTGCCTGTTGGCCATTTGGATTTCCTCTTTTGAAAAATGTCTATTGAGGTCCTTGGCCCATCTCTTAAGTGGGTTGTTTGTTTTGTTTTTGTGGAGTTTCTTGATCTCTTTGTAGATTCTGGTTATTAACCCTTCATCAGTTGCTTAGTTTGCAAATATTTTTTCCCATTCTGTCGGTTGCCTCTTCACTTTCCTGACTGTTTGCCTTGCAGTACAGAAACTTCTCAATTTGATGCAATCCCAATAGTTGATTTTGGCTTTGACTGCCTGTGCCTCCCGGGTCTTTTCCAGAAACTCTTTGCCTGTGCCAATATCTTGAAGGGTTTCTCCAATGTTCTCTAATAACTTGATGGTGTCAGGTCGTAGATTTAGGTCTTTAATCCATGTTGAGTGGATTTTGTGTAAGGTGTAAGGTAGGGGTCTCGCTTCATGCTTCTGCACGTGGAAATCCAGTTTTCCCAGCACCATTTATTGAATAGACTGTCCTTGCTCCAGGAATTAGTTTTAGATCCTTGATCAAATATAAGTTGGCTGTAGATGTTTGGGTTGATTTCTGGTGTTTCAATTCTGTTCCATTGGTCTATCCATCTGTTTCTGTACCAGTCCCATGCTGTTTTGATTACAACTGCCCTGTAGTATGTCCTGAAATCTGGTATTGTGATGCCTCCGGCTTTGTTTTGTTGTACAAGATTGCTTTAGCTATTCGAGGTCTCTTGTGCCTCCATATAAATTTCAGCACCAATTTTTCCAGATCTGAGAAGAAGGTCTTCGGTATCTTGATTGGTATTGCATTGAATTTATAAATTGCTTTTGGGAGAATGGACATTTTGATGATATGATTCTTCCAATCCATGAGCATGGAAGATTTTTCCATTTCTTGGTATCCTCTTCTATTTCTTTCTTTAAGGTTTTGTAATTCTCATCATAGAGATCTTTAACATCCTTGGTTAAGTTATTCCAAGGTATTTGATTGTTTTTGTAGCTATTGTGAATGGGATTGATCTTAGCAGTTCTTTCTCAGCCGTGGCATTGCTTGTGTATACAAAGGCTGTTGATTTTTGTGCGTTGATTTTATACCCTGCTACTTTGCCAAAATCTTCTATGAGTCCCAATAGTCTCTTAGTAGAGTTCTTTGGGTCCCCTAAATGAAGAATCATATCATCTGCAAAGAGGGATAATTTGAGTTCTTCCTTCCCAATTGTATCCCTTTAATTTCTTTTTCTTCCCTAACAGCTCTGGCTAAAACCTCAGGAACTATGTTGAATAGCAGTGGTGAGAGTGGGTATCCTGTCTGGTACCAGATCTCAGTGGAAATACTTCCAACTTTCCCCATTCAATAGGATGCTGGCCGTGGGTTTTTCATAAATTGCTTTGATTGTATTGAGGAATGTTTCTTCTATACACAGTTTGCTTAGGGTTTTCATCATGAATGGGTGTCGTGTTTTATCAAATGCTTTCTCGGCGTCTATTGAGATAACAATATGGATTTTCTTCTGCAGTCTGTTTAATGTGGTGTATCACATTGATTGATTTGCACACATTGAACCATCCCTGCATACCAGGGATAAATCCCACTTGGTCTGGGTGGATGATCTTTCTGATGTGTTGTTGCATTCTATTGGCCGAGAATTTTATTGAGGATTTTTGCATCTATGTTCATCAGGGATATTGGTCTGTAATTTTCTTTCAATGCTGCATCTTTTTCCGGCTTAGGAATTAAGGTGATGCTGGATTCATAGAAAGAATTTGGGAGGATTCCCCCTTTTTCGATTGTTCTGAATAGTTTGAGAAGAATAGAGTTAGTTCTTTAAATGTCTGGTAGAATTCAGCAGTGAATCCATCTGGTCCTGGGCTTTTCTTTGTTGGGAGGACCTTTATTACTGTTTATTTCTGGTAGATTCCCTGTTGTGCTGGCCTACACGTCCTTGTAGTACTTTCTGATGATTCCTTTTTATTTCTGTGGTGTCTGTTGTTATTTTTCCTTTTTCATCTCTGATTTTATTGATTTGAGTCTTTTCTTTTTTAGTTAGTTGTGCCAATGGGGTGACAATTTGTTTATTTTTTCTGAAACCAGCTCCTCGTTGGCTGATTTTTTTTGTAAATTTTTTGGAGTCAATCCTATTGATTTCTTCTCTGATTTTAATTATTTCTCTTCTCCTACTAGATTTGGGTCTGGTTTTCTGCAGTTTTTCTAGATCCTTGAGATGAATCGAAAGCTCATTTATTTGGTGCCTTTCCAATTTCTTGATGTAGGCACCTATTGCTATAAACTTTCCTCTCAACACTGCTTTTGACATATTCTATAATTTTTGATATGTGTGTCTTTATCCTCATTTACTTCCAGAGAGTTTTTGATTTCTCTTTTGATTTCTTGAATGACCCAGTGTTCATTCAGGAGCATGTTGTTCAATCTCCATGTGTTTGCATATGCTCCAGGGATTCCTGAGTTGCTAATTTCCACCTTCATTCCACTGTGGTCTGAGAAGCTCATGGTATGATTCTAATTCTTTTGAATTTGCTGAGACTTGCTTTATGGCCTAGTGAAGTGGTATTGGATATGAGGGCTTATCATTTTCGTTGTTGGAGGATTTATAACTGGATTCAATGTCTTGAGTAGATACAGGTGGATACTTCAGAAAGTCACAGGAAGCTGAAGTGGAAAGTTTATTGTGGAGCAGAATAAGTGTGTGTCAAGAGGCCAGACGATATGTCCTCACCAGGCTCTAATTTTTATTTTATCTTGTTTCATAAGTGAGAGATTTGCAAAGTACTTTCATTTTTGGTTAACAGCTCTTTTTTTTAAGACTTGGCGTACATCTCCCCACTTTCTCCTAGCCCGTATAGGGTGTCTGATGAGAAGGTCAGATGTGATTCTAATCAGAGATCTTCTAAAAAGGGTCTGGTGTTTCTCTTGTATGATTTTAGAATCTTGTCTTCATGTTGGAGTGTGAAGAATTTGACTGCGGTGGGTCACAATGAAGATCTTTCAGGTCGTGTGTATTAGGACTTCCATGTGCTTCCTGTGCTCCACTGTTCCTTTCCTCAAATTAAAAAAGTTGTCTGTAATTACTTCAGTAAAAGGGCCTTCTTGTCAACTGTCTTTCTATGCCTTCACTTACTTGTTCTGATAATATCCCTTAGCTGAGGCCTAACAGTAAAAATATTTCTTAGTGGGTGACATGCTAGGGAGAGAATGACAAGGCCTATTCAGAGCAGCTGTCACTCCTGCTGCAGTCCCTTGGCTCCAGCTCCCAAGCAGTTGCCTGGCCAGAGGAGGATAGGGCAGCCCATGCAGTGACAGGTGCCGATAAAGTGTGTGCTCCCTGTTGCCACTACCACCGTGTGTCTGGCCACAGTTGAACCATGGTCCCAAGGCTGGGAATGGCATCCAGGAGAGGAGTGATGCATACCACATTTCTGTTGGCTGCAGACCAGTGCAGTCCCTGCATGCTGTTTCACACCAGGAAGAGCAGGGCTTCTGCCTGTGGCAGGGGCGAGAAGCTCTGGGGTGCATCCTTGCTTGCCTAGGAGAGAAGATGAGCTGTTATGACAGCTGTGTCACTGGCATCTGGTGGCTATGCCAGGGCTGGGTCTTGAATTGGTTCCCTCTGAGCAGTGGCTTGCACTGTCATCGCACTGCTCACACCGCCTGTGGTTCAGACTTGCAGCCCACCTTTGGCGGGATCTGTGGTCTGTGTGGTGGTCTTCATGTCCTCAGCTGCCCTGAGCATGAGCCCCCCTGGGATCTGTAGCTACTTGGTCAGGTATGAGTGTGGTTTGGTTGACTCTAGGGGGACAGACTTTAACAGAGAGGATCTGCAGCTTGAGCTGTGAAGGGCAGGATTTAGGGAAAGGATAACTTTCCCTGACTGAGTGTCACCAGGACAGACAGGCCAGAGTGTGGCTCACGTCTTTGCTTGGGATTTCTTCCAGCCATGCAGCTTGACTTGTGTTAAGGTGGTGGGCAAGGGAGGGTCTGGAGGGAGATACTGGCCTGAACACAGGTGGTCCCCTTGCTGAGATACTTACTGCCAGGGAACCACAGCCGTTCTTTCTTTATCTGTCACCACAGGGCCACACTGACTCATGGAAGCAAGAAGCCAGAGGCCCTTATTCATTCATTCCTACCGTACCCTCCCGTGTTCCTCTGTGTGCATTGCACATGTGTTCCCAAAGCGCTCTTGCTACAAGGCTCTGCCTGGATGCAGAGGCCCCCCACGTGGAGCCAAGAAGTCCTTGTAATTTGTTGTCTGTCAAGGTCACCTGATGGCATTAGTGGCTATACTAAGTGGCACCAGGTGTCCTACAATTTTCCCAGCCTGCCTCGCTGGGCTGTTTAATGGTGAGAAGGAGGGAATGTAGAGGGCACAGCCCGGTGGGGCAGCTCCCTGCACTGGTCTGCAGCCAACAGAAATGTGGTATTTTTCTTCTTCAGCCCCTTCTGGAAGCAATGGCTGTCCCGCCAGCAGACCAGGCCCCCTTGGAGGTGAGTGACGCGTGGCTGTTGCGGTTTCCCGCTGGTGGTCTTGGCTGCAGGCGTGCCTGTTGCTCGTGTGTCCCGAAGGCGCAGGTATAGTCGCGGTCGGTTGTGCTGTGTGGACAGTCTGGAAGGGTCCCCAGTGTGCGAGCAGCTGTGTGAGAGCAGAGGTGGCTCGGTCTCCTCCCTGAAGGGCCATGCATTCCCTTCTGTTTGCTTTTTGAGGGCCCAGCTGCCCTGCTCTAGACCTCTGAGACTGTTGATGGAACGAGAGCAAAAATGCATGTCTGTGTCCTGGTCAGGACAGTTTCGGGTTCCTGGCATTGGGTGTGATGTTAGCGCTCTGTGGGTTTTTTCATGAAAGAGCCTGTCAGGCCTGAGGTGTACCTTCCGTTCCTAATTTGATGATTTTTTTTTTTTTTAATATCAGAGAAAGTAATGGAAGTTTTTGTGAAATAGTTTTTCTGTGTCTGTAGGGATAATGTGTGGCCTTTTCTCTTGTTGATTCTGTTCTGGGATATATTGATTTTGTATGGTAGCCATCCTTGAATTCCTGGAGTAACTCTCAGTTGCGCACTGTGAGCTAAGCTTTGGTTGTGCTTCTGGATCGCATTTGGCAATTTGTTCAGGATTATGACAGATTCATGACAGATTTTTATTTATTATTTATTTTATTTGATTTTTTTGACAGGCAGAGTGGACAGTGAGAGAGAGAGACAGAGAGAAAGGTCTTCCTTTGCCGTTGGTTCACCCTCCAATGGCCACCCGTGGCCGGTCGCGCTGCGGCCGGCGCACCGCGCTGATCCGATGGCAGGAGCCAGGAGCCAGGTGCTTTTCCTGGTCTCCCATGTGGTGCAGGGGCCCAAGCACCGGGCCATCCTCCACTGCACTCCCTGGCCACAGCGAGAGCTGGCCTGGAAGAGGGGTAACCGGGACAGAATCCGGCGCCCCGACCGGGACTAGAACCTGGTGTGCCGGCGCCGCTAGGCGGAGGATTAGCCTAGTGAGCCGCCGGCGCCGGCCATGACAGATATTTATATGCCACTTTCTTTATTATGTGTTTGTTTTTGATATTGGGATAATGTGGTCTGATGGAAGAAAATTGGATGTTTTCCCTCTTAATCTCCTTTTTGGAAGGATTTGTGAATCATGGATTTTAATTACCCTGTAACTGGGAGTTCTGCACTGGTGAAGCCTTGTGGTCCTGGAATTATATTCATTTTTTGTGTTTGGTTTTTGGTTTCCCTGCTAATAGAGTCTCATTTCAATTTAAAAGTATATTCACAATTTCTAGTTTGACTACATTCATTTTGGGGGTTTATTTCTTTCTGAGAATCAATCCACTGTATCTACATTGACCAAATTCTTGTGCCTTCATTTTTCCATAGTGTTTTTGATTATTATTTTAGTAAGGTTGTTAGTAATGTCCTCTCTGTCATTTCTCTTGTTAAGTTTTTTGAGTCTGTTCTCTTTTTTGCTTGTTTCATGTGTATAAACATAGTGTCAGTTTCACTGAGTTTTCAAGAACTGTATTTTGGTCTCACTGAATTTTTGTTGTGATATTTTCTATGCCGTTGACTTTATTTCCGTTTGAATCATTTTCCTGCTTCCAGTTTCTTAAGATTTACTTTACTGTTCTAGTGTTTGAAGGTAAAATTGGGTTATGGATCCGATGTCTGTATTCTTCTAATATATACCTGTAGAGCAATACAATTTCTCATGTGAAATTGGTCCTGTCAACATGGAAAACTATATGGGTGTACCCACTACTGGGAACATATTGAAGGAAACATAATCATTGTGTAGACAGAGAGGCTTTCACAGGCCTATGCGTATTGCAGTAGGATGCACAATAGCCAGGCTATGCAGTCTGCAGACGCATGTATGGTGTCCATAGCCCATAATGTCTTTATTCAGTCTTGAGGTGATCAGCATTTTGGCTGATGGCATATGTTTGCTCTTGTGAATTGAGCTGTGGTAAATGTGGGGACAGAGAGAACTCTTTTTTTATGCTGATTTCATTTCCCTTGGGTACATTCCCAGGGCTGGAGTGGCTGGCTCATATGCTACGTCTGTATTCAGATTTCTGACTTATCTCCATACTGTCTTCCACAGTGGTGATACCAGTTTACATTCCCACCAGCAGTGGATTAGGTTGCCATTTCCCTCACATGCTCAAGTCCATTGTAGAATTGATTTCCATTTCCCTGATGGCTAGTGATCCTGAGCATTTTTTTTATTTTAATTTTAATTTAATGAATACATTTTTACATAGATACAACTTTTGGACTATAGTGGTTCTTTCCCCATATCCCTCCAACCCCCATCCCAGCTCCCATGCTCGCTCCCATCTCATTGTTCATTATGGATCATTTTTAGTATGACTGTATATATAGAAAACCAATTCTATGCTAATCATAGACTTCAGCAATTTGCACCCACGCCAACATACAACATGTAGAGTACAGTTTGGGGAGAGAATTTGCAGTCAATTCTCATATTACTATTCAATAGGGACAGAGGTCCTACCTGAGAAGCAAGTGAAAAGTGAGTATTGTTATTCTTTAAATTTTTTTTAACTTTTATTTAATGAATATAATTTCCAAAGTACAGCTTATGCATTACAATGAGGGTGGGCTCCAGAGAACGTGGGCTATCAGCGTCTGCGTCCCTGGGTCACCGCATGGATGCAGCAGTGTGCAGATGTGTCCTGGGGTGACGGCCCGTGGGGAGTGCGCCTGGGCCTGGGCCTGGCGCTGTGACCCGGAAGTGCACCCACACGCCTGGCCTCAACTGCCCCGCGCTGCTCCGCTGGGAGTTAGCGCCGCATCTGCTCCTGCCCGGGAGCCCACGCAAGAGGTGGGGAGAGGAGCCCTACTTGATGCTGCTGACAGAGCCTGAGGGAGACCCAGCGGCCCCAGGGTCAGGCCAGGATCAGGAGAGGGTGCGGGTCCGAGGCTTCCGCGCCATTTCCCAGGCGTGTTTCTATTCTTTGGCCCCTTCGGGAAGCAACGGCCTTCGCGGACCTCTGTCCCGCCGGCAGACCGCCCCCCCCCCCCCGGAGGTGAGTGACGCATGGCTGTTGCGGTGTCCCGCTGGGGGTCTTGGCTGCAGGCTTGCCTGTTGCTCTTGGGTCCTGAAGGCTCGGGTGGAGTCGCGGTCGTGCAGTGCGGATGGTCTGGAAGGGTCCCCAGGGTGCGTGCAGCTGTGCAAGAGCAGAGGTGGCTGGGTCTCCTCCCGGAACGGCCTTGTGTTCTTGTCTGTTTGCTTTTCCAGGGCCCAGCCTCCCTGCTCTAGACCTCTGAGACTATTGTCAGGAGGAATGACGAGCGAAAGTGCGTATCTGTGTCCTGGTCTAGGAGGACAGTTTCGGGTTCCTGGCATTGGGTGTATATAGCGCTCTGTGTGGGTTTTTAATGAAAGAGCCTTGTCAGGCCGAGGTGTACCTTCCTTCCTAATTTGATGATTTGTTTTTTTAGTATCGCAAAAGTCACGGGAGTTTTTGTGGAATAGGTTTTCTGTGTCTGTTCGGGATACTTTGTGGGCTTTCCCCATGTGTGTTCTGTTCTGTGATAGATTGATTTTGTATGGTAGGCATCCTTGCATTTCTGGAGAACTCAGTTGCACTCAGTGTGCTAAGCTTTGGTTGTGCTTCTGGATGGCATCTGATCATATTTTGTTGAGGCCTGTGACACATTCACGACGGATATTTGTGTGCCATTTTCTTTGTGGTGTGCTTTTTTGGGATGTTGGGATAATGCTGGTCTGATGGAATGAAATGGAAGGCTTTTCCTCTTCATCCCCTTTTTGGGATGGTGTGTGAATCACGGATTTTAATTATCTTTTAAGTGGAGTTCTCACTGGACTTTTCTTCTTGTCTTTTTTTGTTTGTCTCTGTTTCCCTGCAACTACAGTCTCTTTTCAAATTATAAGTGTATTCCGAGTTTCTTGTTTTACTGTATTCAGGTTTAGTGGTTTGAATCTTCTGAGAATCAAGCCACTCTATCTAGGTTGACCAAATCCCCGTGCCTGGTTTTTCCCTAGTATTTTTGGTTTATTATTTTGGCAAGGTTGGTAGTGATGTCCTCTCTGTCATTTCTGTTGTCAAGTCACTTGAGTCTGTTCTCCTTTTCCCCCCTGTTTCCTCTTTTGTCAGTTTCACTGAGTTTTCAAGAACTTGTATTTTGGTCTCAGTGATGTCTTTTGTGATATTTTCTATGCTGTTGACTTTATTTCCGTTTGAATCATTTTCCTCCTTCCAGTTTCTTCAGATTTACTTTGCTGTTCTAGTGTTTGAAGGCAAAATTGGGTTTATGGATCCGATGTCTGTATTCTCTAATATATACCTGTAGAGCAATACAATTTCTCATGTGAAATTGGTCCTGTCAACATGGAAAACTCTATGGGTGTACCCACTACTGGGAACATATTGAAGGAAACGCAATCATTGTGTAGACAGAGAGGCTTTCACAGGCCTATGCGTATTGCAGTAGGATGCACAATAGCCAGGCTATGCAGTCTGCAGACGCATGTATGGTGTCCATAGCCCAGAATGTCTTTATTCAGTCTTGAGGTGATCAGCATTTTGGCTGATGGCATATGTTTGCTCTTGTGAATTGAGCTGTGGTAAATGTGGGGACAGAGAGAACTCTTTTTTTATGCTGATTTCATTCCCCTTGGGTGCATTCCCAGAGCTGGAGTGGCTGGCTCATATGCTACGTCTGTATTCAGATTTCTGACTTATCTCCATACTGTCTTCCACAGTGGTGATACCAGTTTACATTCCCACCAGCAGTGGATTAGGGTGCCTTTTTCCCTCACATCTTCAAGGTAATTGTAATTTCGATTTGCATTTCCCTGATGGGTAGTGATACTTAGCATTTCTACATATGTTTGTTGGACATTTAGATTTCCTTTCTTTTTTTTCTTTTTTCTTTTTCATTTTTTTATTTAGTAAATATAAATTTCCAAAGTACAGTTTATGGATTACAATGGCTCCCCCCACACACATAATTTCCCTTACACTTCCACCCCTCCCATCTCCCGCTCCCTCTCCCATTCCATTCACATCAAGATTCATTTTCAATTATCTTTATATACAGAAGATTGATTCAGTATATATTAAATAAAGATTTCATCAGTTTGCACCCACATAGAAACACAAGTGTAAAATACTGTTTGAGTACTAGTTATAGCATTAATTCACATTGGACAACACATTAAGGACAGATGCCACATGAGAAGTAAGGACACAGTGACTCCTGTTGTTGACTTAACAATTTGATGCTCTTGTTTATGGTGTCAGTAATCTCCCTAGGCTCTAGTCATGAGTTGCCAAGGCTCTGGAAGTCTTTTGAGTTTGCCGACTTCGATCTTATTCCGACAGGGTCATAGTCAAAGTGGAAGTTTTCTCCTCCCTTCAGTGAAAGGTACGTCCTTCTTTGATGGCCCCGTTCTTTCCACTGGGGTCACTTGCAGAGATCTTTCATTTAGGTCTTCTTTTTTTTTTCCAGAGTGTCTTGGCTTTCCATGCCTAAAATACTCTCATGGGCTCTTCAGCCATATCCGCATGCCTTAAGGGCTGATTCTGAGGCCAGAGTGCTGTTCAGAACATCTGCCATTCTATGAGTCTGCTGTGTATCCCGCTTCCCATGATGGATCATTCTCTCCCTTTTTGATTCTGTCAGTTAGTATTAGCAGACACTAATCTTGTTTGTGTGATCCCTTTTGACTCTTAGACCTATCAGTGTGATCAGTTGTGAACTGAAATTGATCACTTGGACTAGTGAGATGGCATTGGTACATGCCACCTTGTTGGGATTGAATTGGAATCCCCTGGCACTTTTCTAACTCCAGCATTTGGGGCAAGTCAGCTTGAGCATGTCCCAAATTGTACATCTCCTCCCTCTCTCATTCCTACTCTTATATTAACAGGGATCACTTTTCAGTTAAAATTTAAACACCTAAGAATAATTGTGTGTTAATTACAGTGTTCAACCAATAGTACTAGAACAAAACCAAAAAAAAATACTAAAATGGATAAAGTATACATTGTACGTCAACAGTCAGGACAAGAGCTGATCAAGTCACTGTTTCTCCTAGATTTCCTTTCTTGAAATATGCCTGTGGAAGCCCCTTGCCCATTTCCTGAGTGGTGGTTTGTTTTGCTGTAGTTGAATTTTTTGAAAGTTCTTGTGGTTTAGTTTATCCTTTATCAGTTGCATACTTTGCATATAATTTCTCCCATTCCGTTAGTTGCCTCTTTACTTGGCTGAGTGTTTTCTTTTGCAGGGCAGAAGCTTCTCCATTTTTTTTTTTTTTGGTGTCCTTTGTATCTCTCTCTTTAATCTTTTGTGATTCCCAGATGTTGAACATCGTGGTTAAATTTATTCAAGCTTTTTGTTTTCTTTGTAGCTATGTGAACGGGATTGGTCTTTGAATTCCTTTCTCAGCCATGACATTGTCTGTGTATACAAAGACTTGATTTTTTATCCTGGCTCATTACCTAACTCTACTCTGAATTTCAATAGTATCTTAGTGGAGTCTTTTGGATCTCCTATATATAGAATTGTGTCATCTGCAAATACGGATAGTTGGACTTCCTCCCTCCCAATTTGTATCTACAATGAGAAATTAGAGAAGAAGTACCAACATGATCGTGTGCATGTAGAAAATGTCAATAGTGACCTCAGATGCTACCTTTCTGTGTTCTCTCTTGCTTTGTGGGACATGTGATTTGGCCTGTTTCCAACATGATCCATACTTTAAATGCAGGGCTAGACTGTGCAGGGTGGTGTCTGGGAAGTAGACCTGTGTTCCATGGAGAACTCTGTAGATCACAGATGTTTCAAGTCCTTGTGTGAGTGGGTACATAAGTGTCTGAATAAATAAATTACAAATATTTCCTCATGCTTAAGTCAGAGATAATGCCACACAGAATGTTTGTAAGGAAGAAGAGAATGAATTGGTACTAGAATCTTTTCTAAGCCTGATTTAAATTGTTTTTTCAAATTCTGTGTCTATTTGGTATGCAATACCTATAGTATCAGTTTGTAAATAAACTCTAGTAGATGGCCTGTATTTTATTTACAGCTATGTCTTCCTTTTTAATTTTTACTTTTTCTTAAATATTTATTTATTTGAAATTCAGACATATACACAGAGAGGATGGGAGGCAGAGAGAGCGAGAGAGAGAAAGAGAGAGACAGATACATAGGTTTTCCATCTGCTGTTCCACTTCCTATTCGGCTGCAATGGCCAGAGCAGAGGAGATCTAAAAGCAGGAGCCCGGAACCTCCCCGTGGTCTCCTTCATGGGTACAAGGGCACAAGAGTTGGGCCATCTTCTACTGCCTTCCCAAACCACAGCAGAGAGCCACATCAGAAGTGCAGCATCCAGGACTCGAACTGGCGCCTAGATGGGATGTGCGATGTGGGTGGTGGCTATAGCCACTACCCCACAATGCCAGATCCTCCGGAAGCCATTGCCATGGAATGCTGCTGTCTGCAAACATTGCTGGGAAAGCAGAGGGAGAAGGCCCAAGGTCTTAGGACCCTGAACCCAGAATTGGGCACCGGATAAAGTCCCTCGCTTCTGCTTTGGCCTGGCCAAGCCCTGGCCTTTTTAGCCACTTGGGGGGGTAACCCCCCAGATGGATGATCACTCAGAGTGAGAAAGAGTGCTCATGATGCTGCTTGCACTGCTGCTATCCCCAAGCAGCAGCAAGGGCCAGCGCTGGTCCAGGCAGAAACCAGGAGGCAGGAGCTCCATTCAGGACTCCCACTAGACAGGGTGGCTGGGTCCAGAGTGCCTGGGCCGTCAGTGGCTGCCTCCCTGGGTCACAGCCTGATGAGGCAGGAATGGAAGTGGTCCTGGGGCATCAGGGCATAGCTGCATCCCTTGGTGCCCTGTCAGTCACCGGTGAGGAGTGTGCCTGAGCCCAGCACTGTGACCCGGAAGTGCACCCGCAGGTGCATCTGTTTCTTCTGCACGGTGCTCCGGTGGGAGTCAGCGTCATGTCTGCCCCAGCTCAGAGCTTGTGCAAGCCCTGAGTTGCTGATTTCGATGCTGGTGGCTGAGCCTGAGGAGATACAGTGCCTCTCCCCCACCCCCCCCCAGGGTCAAGCCAGGATTAGGTGAAACTGTGGTGAGGTAGCCACTCAGTTATCTTGTGCTTCTGGAACTTTCTAGGCACAGTCCTCTTCTTTGGCCCCTCTGAAAGACTACACCTCAGGTCTGGATTCCTGTGTCAGAGGAACAGAAAGGCTCTTTCTGTGGAGAGTTTGGCGTGGTGGCCTTCCTGTCACTGGGTAGAGGGGCCCGGGGGACAGTGAGTAGGGAGCATGTGTGTGAGGGTAGCTGAGATAGAAGGTGGAGAAGAGTGGGTGTCAAGAGGAGGCTGGAGGAGAGAGGAAGGGGGGAGAATGAATGCTGGTGAGTGCCTTTGTGGTCACCTACCACCTTAACCTCATCATCCTGTCCATCTCAGTCCATGTGTGGTGGACATACAACAAAGTCTGAGTATCTGGAACTTAGTATTTAATGCTTATGCTACAGTTAGTCCTGTGGTGCTGTTCAGTTCTGATAAAAGAATAATCAGTATTCTGAAAAGCACACAATGTAAGAGCCATTAATGTTTACTAATATTGTGATGGGATATTTTTCTTGAAAATATATTTTAATGCAGTTAAATTATTCAGTAGCATAAAATGTTTTTAATTTCTGTAAGAGGAACATTTCATTTTTCATATATACAGTTTTTTTTTTTTTTGACAGGCAGAGTGGACAGTGAGAGAGAGAGACAGAGAGAAAGGTCTTCCTTTGCAGTTGGTTCACCCTCCAATGGCCGCCGCGGCCGGCACGCTGCGGCCGGCGCACCACGCTGATCTGATGGCAGGAGCCAGGAGCCAGGTACTTATCCTGGTCTCCCATGGGGTGCAGGGCCCAAGTAGTTGGGCCATCCTCCACTGCACTCCCTGGCCACAGCAGAGAGCTGGCCTGGAAGAGGGGCAACCGGGACAGAATCCGGCGCCCCAACCGGGACTAGAACCTGGTGTGCCGGCGCCGCTAGGTGGAGGATTAGCCTAGTGAGCCGTGGCGCGGCCCATATATACAGTTTAAGAGCAAAATGATACTTTATCAGATTAAAATAAAGTGCAATTATTTGATAATTCTTTACTTCATTGTAAATCATAGTTTGATGCATATCATGTATCATCTTATTTCATTTTCTTTACTGTAGAAAAACATTTATTCTTGACATGTAGGTTTAGAAAGCTCCTGTTGGTAATCAAATCTCTGTTTATTTTTTATTGTGTTTTATTCATCTTGGTACATTAACTAGATTTTACCTAAGGATCCAACTCTAGCTCAGATAATTGCTTTGGGCATGATTAATTTTATGTCTGTTTTACAGCACCATACAAGTTGTTAAAAGGACTATTTTAGTCACCTCTGTGAATGATCTGTTTTTCTCTTACTGTTTCTAATTTTTTTCTCCCCTGATGTTATGAAGTGTGGTTATGTATACTTTTGTGTCTTTTTGACACACTGCATTTGTAATTCAAGAATTTGTAAGCATAGAGTCTTTTAAATCATCCAGGTTTGATAATTGCCTTTGTGTGTTTTTCTAATATTCTATGGAAACAATTGGATATTTCAATCCTCTTCTTGCTAACCTTCATGTTTTTGTAACTGTGCACTTATTTGGTATGGCTTTGTATCCCAGCACTGTATTTAACCGGATTCATTGTTCTCAATATGCTTGCTCACCAGCCCTCTTACCATCCCTGTGCAGTTCTCACCCATGTTTTATATTTACTTTATTCATAATATTTTCACTCTTCACTTTCTCATCAATACTTTTCTATATAGCTTACAATCTTGCAACTTGTTCTTTCCACATTATTTTGGTTTCCTATTTTCTCACTGTATTGACTTAAATATTTTAAGGATAACTCCTATATGTAGAGTTATGTGAAAGGAAACTTTTAAGGCCCAAATTCTAGTACATTATTTTCTGAATGAAAACTAATATATACATACATATATATGTATAATATATATATGTATTTCTTTTTTTTTTTTTTTTGACAGGCAGAGTGGACAGTGAGAGAGAGAGAGACAGAGAGAAAGGTCTTCCTTTGCCGTTGGTTCACCCTCCAATGGCCGCCGCGGCCGGCGCGCTGCGGCCGGCGCACCGCGCTGATCCGATGGCAGGAGCCAGGAGCCAGGTGCTTTTCCTGGTCTCCCATGGGGTGCAGGGCCCAAGCACCTGGGCCATCCTCCACTGCACTCCCTGGCCACAGCAGAGGGCTGGCCTGGAAGAGGGGCAACCGGGACAGAATCCGGCGCCCTGACCGGGACTAGAACCCGGTGTGCCGGCGCCGCTAGGCGGAGGATTAGCCTATTGAGCCGCGGCGCCGGCCTATATATATGTATTTCTGATGCATGGGTATGTCAAAACTGAGATTTTCAGTCGCTTCATTTCTATTGTTTATTTCACTTACCTGTGGCAGTGTTGTACAAGGCACATGGGTTTGATATCTTTTTGTCACCCTTATCTGGATGGGGCATTGGCTTCTTGGTTGACTGCTTCGCTGGCTCATTTCTGGATTCACTCTCATATCTTGGAAGTTCTAACTTGTTCCTTCCAAGCTGATTTGCCATTTTAAGAATTTTTGTTATTTTCCTGCATTAAGCCTTTCTATATTAAATTTTTTTAAATTGATAATATTTTGCCTAAAAAGCACAAATACCTGCACTGCACATGTGAATAAAATATGTTACATGGTATTTTTGACACATACATGAGAATTTTTGTAAAAAATTTTCTTCATTTGAAACACTGTAATATTCTATATTTTAACATAATTTATAGAAAGTACTTATTTATTATTAGTTGAAAACTCATTCTATATTTGCTCATATCTTTGAAATGATAGCACTCAGTGCAGAGAATAATTACTACACATGGACATTTCTTTTTTAAAAAACACTAAGCTAGTGATGGTATGATTTCTTACCTGAGTTCAATTCTTTCCACATTCTTCTTTTATTTTTTAAAGATTTACTTTACTGTTTTTTTTTTTATTTATTTGACAGGTAGAGTTATAGAAAGTGAGAGAGAGAGAGACAGAGAGAAAGGTCTTCCTTCCGCTGATTCACTCCCAAATGGCCGCCATGACCGGCGCTGCACTGATCTGAAGCCAGGAGCCAGGTGCTTCTTCCTGGTCTTTCACATGGGTGAGTGCAGGGGCCCAAGCACTTGGGCCATCCTCCACTGCCCTCCCAGGTCACAGCAGAGAGCTGGACTGGAAGAGGAGCAAACGGTGCTAGAACCCGGTGCCCGTATGGGATGCTGGGGTCATGTCTGAGATCACAGGACAGGGCCTTTGCCCTGCATGCAGGGGCTGGGGACCCGGGCAGGGGGCCAAGTTGCGTCTGGGGTGCTGGGGGCCGGGTCGGGTCTGGGGTGCCGAGGGCAGGGCCCTCGCTGTGCCTGCAGGGCCCTCGCTTTGCCTGCAGTGCTGGGGCCCCGGGCAGGGAGTGGGGTCGCGTCTGGGTTGCCCAGTGCAGGGCACTCACAGGCCCTGTGGGGCCTGGGGCCCCGGGCATGGGGGAGCCGAGTTGCGTCTAGGGTGCCCAGGGCGGGGCTCTTGCTGTGCCTGCAGGGGCTGGGGACCCAGGTAGGGGGCGGGGTCGTGTCTGGGGTGCCCAGGGCGGGGCTCTTGCTGTGCCTGCAGGGGCTTGGGACCCAGGGAGGGGGGAGTTGTGTCTGGGGTGCCCAGGTCAGGGCCATCACCATGCCTTCAGGGGCTGGGGATCCGGGTGGTGGGCATTGTCACATCCGGGGTGCTCAGGGCAGGGCCCTCCCTGTGCTTGCAGGGACTGGGGACAAGGGCTGTGGGCGGGGGTCGCATCTGGGGTGCCCAGGACAGTGCCCTCACTGTGCCTGCAGGGTTTAGGAACCCTGCAGGGGCAGAGAACCTGGCCAGGGGGAGTCATGTCTGGGGTGCCCAGGGCAGGGCCCTGGCTGTGCCTGCATGGCCATCACTGTGCCTGCAGGGGCCTGGGCAGGGGGCGGGGTCACATCTTGAGTGCCCAGGACAGGGTCATCGCCATGCCTGTAGGGGCTGAGAATCCGGCCGGTGGTGGGGGCGCGTCTGGAGTGCCCAGGGCGGGGCTCTCGCCATGCCTGCAAAGGCTGGGGACCCAGGTGGAGGTAGGGCCTTGTAGTGCCTGAGATGCCCAGGGCAGGGCTCTTGCTTAGAATGCCTTCGCTGTGTCTGCGGGGCCCTCGCAGTAACTGCAGGGGCTGGGGACCTAGGTGGGGGGCGGGATCATGTCTGGGGTGCCCAGGGTGGGTTCCTTCCCATGCCTGCAGAGGCTTTGGACCCAGGCGGGGGAGGGGGCGGGGGAGCGCCTGGTGTGCCCAGTGCAGGGCTCTTGCCAGGCCTGCCCTCGCTGTGCTTGAGGGGCCCTCGCAATTCTTGCAGGGTCTGGAGAACCAGGTGGGGGGAGGGGTCGCATCTGCGGTGCCCAGGGCTGGGCCGTCCCCGTGCTGGGGACCTGGGCTGGCGGGCAGGGGCTGCATTTGGGGTGCCCAGGGCCAAGCCCTTGCTGTGCCTGCAGGGGCTTGGGACCTGGGCAGGGGGCAGGGTCGCATCTGGTGCCCAGGACGGGACCCTCACAGTGCCTGCAGGGCATGGGGCCCCGCGAGGGGGGCAGCAATCACGTCTGGGGTGCCCAGGATGATGCCCTCGCCAAGCCTGCAGGGGCTGGGGACCCGGGCAGGGTGTGGGGCCGCATCTGGGGTGCCCAGGGTGGGTCCCTCGCTGTGCCTGCAGGGGCTGGGGAAATGGGTGGGCGGGGCAGGGTCGCGTTTTGGGTGCCCAGGGCGGGGCCCTCACCGGGTCTGTGGGGCTGGGCCCGGGCAGGTGGTGGGGTTGCATCTGGGGTGCCCAGAACAGGGCCCTCACCATGCCTTCAGGGGCTGGGACCCAGGCGGGGCAGGTTTGTATCTTGGGTTCCCAGGGCAGGGCCCTTGCTGGGCCTGCGGGGCACTCACTGTGCCTGCAGTGGCTGGGGACACGGGTGGGCAGGGCAGGGACACGTCTTGGGTGCCCATGGAGGGGCCCTTGCTGGGCATGCAGGGGCTGGGGAGCTGGGCAGGGTGTGGGGTCGCATCTGGAGTGCCCAGGGTGCGGCCCTCGCCATGCCTGCAGGGGTTTGGGATCAGAGCAGGGGGCAGGATTGTGTCTGGGGTACACAGGGTGGGGCCCTAGCCATGTCTGTGGGGCCTTGGGCCCTGGGTAGGGTCACCTCTGCGGTGCCCAAGACGGGGCCACAGCATGCCTGCAGGGGCTGGTGACCCAGGCAGGGGGCTGGGTAGCATCTGGTGTGCCCAGGCGGGTCCCTTGCTGTGCCTGCAGTGGCTGGGGAAATGGGTGGGTGAGGCAGGGTCGCATCTTAGGTGCCCAGGATGGGCCTAAAGGGCCTAAAGGGGCTTGGGAGCCTGGAGGGGCACGGTGTCGTGTCTTGGTTGCCCAGGGCACTGCCCTTGCCATGCCTGCAGGGGCTTGGGACCCGGGCGGGGGGCGGTGCCTGGGGTGCCCAGAGCGGGGTCCTCACCGCAACTGCGGGGCCTGGGGCCCAGGGTGAAGGGCGGAGGGGTTGCACCTGGGGTACCCAGGGCGGGGCTCTTGACACACCTGCCCTCGATGTGCATGCGGGGCCCTTGCTGTGCCTGCAGGGGCTGGGGACCCAGACAAGCCAGGGGAAGGGGTCGCGTCTGGGGTGCCCAGAGCAGGGTTCTGGCCGTGCCTGCCCTTGCTGTGCCTGCGGGGCCCTCGCAATTCCTGCCGGGACTGGGGACCTAGGCAGGGGCGGGGTTGCATCAGGGGTGCCCAGGGTGGGGTCTCACCGAGCCTGCAGGGGCTTGGGACCAGGGTGGGGGACAAGGTAGCATCTGGGGGTGCCCAGGGCAGGGCCCTCGCAGTGCCTTCAGGGCATGGGGCCCCGGGAGTAGGGGGCAGCGGTCACATCTGAGGTGCCCAGGACGCCAGGGGCTGGGGACCCGAGCAGGGTGTGGGGTCCATCTGGGGTGCCCAGGGTGGGTCTCTCGCTGTGCCTGCAGGGCCTGGGGAAATGGGCAGATGGGGCAGGGTCACATCTTGGGTGCCCAGGGCAGGGCCCTCACTGGGTCTGTGTGGCTGGGGCCCCGGGCAGGTGGCAGGGTCTCGACTGGGGTGCCCAGGGAGGGGCCCTCACCCTGCCTGCAAGGGCTGGGGACCCGGGCAGGCGGGGCAGGATCACATTTGGGTGCCCAGGGCTGGGACTTTGCCGCAACTTCGGGGCCTAGGGCCCTGGGTAGAGGGGGGCGGGGTTGCTCCTGGGGTGGCCAGGGCAGGGCTCTTATCAAACCTGCCCTCGCTGTGCCTGCTGGGCCAACGCAGTTCATGCAGGGAATGGGGACCTAGGTGGGGGGCAGGGTCCCGTAGGACTGCCCAGGATGAGGCCCTTGCCATGCTTATAAGGGCTGGGGACCCAGGCATGGGGCCGGGTCTTGTCTGGGGTGTATGCCCAGCGCGGAGCCCTCGCTGCGCCTTCTTGCCTTGGGCCCCAGGCGGGGGGGTGCGGGGTCGTGTCTGGGGTGCCCAGGGCAGGGTCCTCGCCATGTCTGCAGGGGCTAGGGACCCGGTCTGGGAATGGGGTCACATCTGGGGTGCCCAGGACAGGACCCTCACCCTGCCTTCAGGGGCTGGGGACCTGGGCGGGATGGGGGTCGTGTCTGGGGTGCCCAGGGTGGAACCCTCGCTGTTCCTGCAGGACTCTTGCCTTGCCTGCAGTGCTGGGGACCCTGGCGGGAGGCGGGGTCGCATCTGGGGTGCCCAGGAAGGATCCCTCGCTGTGCCTGAAGGGGCTGGGGAAAAAGGCAGGGCAGGGTCACATCTTGGGTTCCCAGGGTGGGGCCCTTGCCGGGCCTGCGGGGCCCTCCCTGTTCCTGCAGTGGCTGGGAACATGGGTTGGTGGGGAAGGGTTGCATTTTGGTTGCCCAGGGCGGGGCCCTTGCCATGCCTACAGGGGCTTGGTATCAGGGTGGGGGGTTAGATCACATTTGGGGTGCACAGGGCGGGGCACTAGCCGCGTCTGCGGGACCTTGGACCTCGGGTGGGGTCATGTCTGGGGTGCTCAGGATGGGGCCCTCGCCATGACTGCAGGGGCTAGGGACCCAGGCAGGGGGCTGGGTCAGGTCTGGGGTGCCCAGGGCGGATCCCTCATGATGCCTGGGGTTCCTCGCCATGCTTGTAGGTGCAGGGACCTGGGCACGGGGCGGGTTCCATATGGGGTGCCCAGGGAGGGCTCTCACAGTGCCTGCAGGGGCTGTGGATCCCGGCGGGGTCACGTCTGAGGTGCGGGGCCCAAGCTGTGCCTTAGGGGCTAGGGACCTGAGGGGGGGGGGCGGGGACCCATCTGGGGTGCCCAAGGAGGGCTCTTGCTGTGCCTGCACGGGCTGGGGATCTGGGTGGGGGGGCGTGGTCATGTCTGGAATGCCCAGGGCGCATCCCTCGCTGTGCCTGAGGGTCCCTCAGCATGCCTGTAGGGCCTGGGGACCTGGGTAGGAAGCGGGGTCCCGTCTAGGGTGGCCAGGGTGGTGTTCTCGCCATTGTTTCAGGGGCTTGGGACCCGGGTGGTGGGGAGGTAGCGTCTGGGGTGACCAGTATTGGGCTTTCAGCCTGCCTGTAGGGGTTAGGACCCGGATAGGAGGTGGGGTCCCATCTGTCGTGGCCAAGGTGGGGCTGTTGCCATTCCTGCAGGGGCATGGCACTCGGGCGGGGGAGGTAGCGAGTGTCTGGGGGGCCCAGGGAGGGGCTCTCGCATGCCTGCAGGGGCTGGAGATCCGGGCAGGGGGGAAGTAGCATCTGGAATGCCCAGCGTGGGGCCCTCGTTGTACCTGAGAGTCCTGGCCAAGCCTGTAGGGGCTGGGGTCCTGGGAATGGGGCGGGGTTGCGTCTGGGTGCCCACGGTGGGGCCTTCGCCCTGCCTACAGGTGTGGGGACCCGGGTAGGAGGCGGGGGTCCCATTAGGGGTGGCCAGGGTGGGGTCTCTGCATTCCTGCAGGGACTTGGGACCCAGGCGAGTGGTGGTCGAGTCTGGGGTACTCGGGACGGGTTTTGCCTTGCTTGCAGGGTGGGGGATCCGGACGGGGGACATGGTTGCGTGTGAGGTGCCCAGGGCGGGGCTCTCACAGTGCCTGAGCATGCCTTGCTGTGCCTATAGGGGCTGGGACCTCAGGGGGGTGCGTGGTCGCATCTTGGGTGCCCAGGGCGGGGACCCAGCTGCTCCCGCCCTTGCTATACCCGTGGGGCCCTCGCCCTGCCTCCTGCAGCGGTGGCCCGGGCAGGTGGTAGGGTCACCTCCGGGGTGCCCAGGGCGGGGCTCTCCCTGTACCTGTAGGGGCTGGAATTGGATCAGGGGCGGGGTCGGGTCTGGGTTGCTCAGGGTGGTGGGGCCCTTGCTGCAACTGCCCTCATTGTGCCTGCGGAGCCCTCCCACTGCCTGCAGGGGTGGAGAATGGGGTAGGGTGTGGGTGCCCACTGAGGTACCCAGAGCGGGAATTTCGCTGTGCCTGCAGGGGCTGGGATGGAGGTAGAGGGCGTGGTCACATCTGGTCGCATCTGGGTTGCTCAGGACAGGGCCCTGGCTGTGGCTGCAGGCCCTCCTGTGCTGCAAAGGCTGTAGCTCCAGGAGGGGGACACGGCCGTGTCTGGGGTGCCAGCAGGAGCTTGGGAACCAGGCAGGTGGTGAGCCCAACTTGGTGCCCACTACAGGGCTCTTACAGTGCTTGCGAAGCCTAAACCCCAGGCACAGGGAGCCGGGTTGCATCTGGGTTGCCCAGGGTGGGGTCCTCGCCCGCCTGCCGAAGCTGGGGAGCCGGGCAAGGGACAGGGTCACGCCTAGGGTGCCCGGGGCAGGGCCCTCGCTTTGCCGCAGGGACTGGGGCCCCGGGCAGGCGGGGCGGGGTCGCGTCTTGGGTTCCCAAGGTGGGGCCCTCTCTGTGCCTTAGGGGCTGGGGACCCGGGCGGATGGGGCGGGGTCCGTCTAGGGTGCCCAGGGAGGGCCCCCGCTGTGTCTGCAGGGGCTGGGGATCTGGGCAGGGACGTGGTCGCGTATGGAATGCCCAGGGAGTGTCCCTCCTGTGCCTGAGGGTCCTCACCATGCCTGTTGGGGCTGGGGTCCTGGGAACGGGACGGGGTCGCCTCTGGGGTGCCCAGGGTGGGGCTCTCGCCATTCCTGCAGGGGCGTGGGAACTGGGCGGGGGGTGTGGGGGGCGAGGCCGCGTCTGGGTTGTCCAGAGCGGGGCTCTCGCTGTGCCTGCAGGGGCTGGGGATCCAGGCCGTGGGGCGGTAGTGTCTGGGGTGTCCAGGGCGGGGACCGAGTGGGGGGAGGAGGCGTCTGGGGTGCCCATAGTGGGGCTCTCACTGTGCCACAGGGGCTGGGGACCTTGGCGGCCGAGTTGGGGTCACGTCTTGGGTGCCCAGGGCCAGGACCCTGCTGCGCCCGCTCTTGCTTTGCCTGCGGGACCCTCGCCCTGCCTGCAGCTGTGGGGGCCCAGGCAGGGCACGGGGTCACGTCTGGGGTGCCCAGGGCAGGCCTCTCGGCCAGCATGCTGGGGCTTGGGATCCAGGTGGGTGCTGGGGCGGAGTTTAGCGTGTCCAGGGTGGAGCTCTCGCCCATTCCCGCAGGGGCGTGGGAACTGGGCGGGGGGTGGGGGGCGAGGCCGCGTCTGGGTTGCCCAGGGCGGGGCTCTCGCTGTGCCTGCAGGGTCTGGGGATCCAGGCGGTGGGGCGGTAGTGTCTGGGGTGTCCAGGGCAGGGCTCTCGCAGTGCCTGCAGAGGCTTGGGACCGAGTGGGGGGAGGAGGCATCTGAGGTGCCCGTGGTGGGGCTCTCGCAGTGCTGCAGGGGCTGGGTACCCGGACAGACAGGGCGGGGTCCCATCTGGGGTGCCCAGGGAGGGCTCTCACTGTGCCTGCAGGGGCTGGGGACCCGGATGGGGTCGCGTCTTGGGTGGCCAGGGCGGGGCTCTCGCCCTGTCTGCAGGGGCTTGGGACCCAGGCAGGGGTGTGTTGCTCCTGGGGTGCCCAGGGTGGAGCTCTGCCATGCCTGCAGGGGCCAGGAACTGGGCGGGGGGCGTGGTCGCATCTGGCGTGCCCCTTGAGGGTCCTCGCCATGCCTGTAGGGGCTGGGGTCCTGGGCAGGGGGCGGGGTCGCCCCTGGGGTGCCCAGTGTTGGGCCTTCACCCTGCCTGTAGGGGTCGGAACCGGGTAGGAGGCGGGGTCCCATCTGGCGTGGCCGGGGCGGGGTTGTCGTCATTCCTGCAGGGGCTGATCCGGGCGGGGGGAGGGTAGCATCTGGGCTGCCCAGGGCGGGGCTCAAGCAGTGCCTGAGGGTCCTCACCATACCTGTAGGGGCTGGGGTCCTGGTCAGGGGGCGGGGTTGCGTCTGGGTACCCAGAGTGGGGCCTTCGCCCTGCCTGCAGGTGTGGGGACCCAGGTAGGAGGCGGGGTCCCTTCAGGGGTTGCCAGGGCGGGGCTCTCGCCATTCCTGCAGGGACTTGGGACCCAGGTGAGTGGTGGTCGAGTCTGGGGTGCTCAGGACGGGTTTCGCCTTTGCCTGCAGGGGTGGGGAATCCGGCGGGGGACATGGTCGCGTGTGAGGTGCCTAGGGCGGACCCTCCCAGTGCCTGAGCGTCCCTTGCTGTGCCTGCCGGGCTGGGGACCCGGGCAGATGACGGGGTCCCTACTGTGGTGTCCATTGCAGGGCACTTAGAGGGCTTGCGAGGCCTGGGGCCCCAGGCGTGGGGGAGCCGGGTTGCATCTGGGGTGCCCAGGGTGTGGCCCTCACCATGCTTGCAGGGGCTTTTGACCCGGGGGGTAGGTGGGCCCTTGCTGCAACTGCCCTCACTGTGCCTGCGGGGCCCTCCCACTGCCTGCAGTTGTGGACACCCGGGTAGGGTGCGGGTCGCCTCTGGGTTGCCCAGAGCAGGAATCTCGGGGTGCCTGCAGGGGCTGGGATGCGGGTGGGGAGCGTGGTTGCATCTGGGTTGCCCAGGGTGGGGCCCTCGCTGTGGCTGCGGGCCCTCGCTGTGCTGCAGGGGCTGGGGCCCCGGCGGGGGCATGGCCTCGTCTGGGATGCCAGCAGGGTCTTGGGAACCCGGGCAGGTGGTGGGGTTCCAACTGTGGTGGCCATTGCAGGGCACTTAGAGGGCTTGCGAGGCCTGGGGCCCCAGGCACGGGGGAGCCGGGTTGCATCTGGGGTGCCCAGGGTGGGGCCCTCGCCCTGCCTGCCGAAGCTGGGGAGCTGGGCAAGGGGCAGGGTCGTGCCTAGGGTGCCCGGGGCAGGGCCCTCGCTTTGCCCCAGGGACTGGGGCCCCAGGCAGGCGGGGCGGGGTCGCGTCTTGGGTTCCCAAGGTGGGGCCCTCTCTGTGCCTTAGGGGCTGGGGACCTGGGCGGATGGGGTGGGGTCCCGTCTGGAGTACCTAGGGAGGGCCCCCGCTGTGCCTGCAGGGGCTGGGGATCTGGACAGGGGACGTGGTACGTATAGCATGCCCAGGGAGTGTCCCTCCTGTGCCTGAGGGTCCTCACCATGCCTGTTGGGGCTGGGGTCCTGGGAACGGGGCGGGGTCGCCTCTGGGTTGCCCAGAGCGGGAATCTCGTGGTGCCTGCAGGGGCTGGGATGCGGGTGGGGAGCGTGGTTGCATCTGGGTTGCCCAGGGCGGGGCCCTGGCTGTGGCTGTGGCTGCGGGCCCTCGCTGTGCTGCAGGGGCTGGGGCCCCCGGCAGGGGCATGGGTTCGTCTGGGATGCCAGCAGGGGCTTGGGAACCGGGCAGGTGGCGGGGTCCCCACTGTGGTGGCCATTGCAGGGCACTTAGAGGGCTTGCGAGGCCTGGGGCCCCAGGCACGGGGGAGCCGGGTTGCATCTGGGGTGCCCAGGGTGGGGCCCTCGCCCTGCCTGCCGAAGCTGGGGAGCCGGGCAAGGGGCAGGGTCGCACCTAGGGTGCCCAGGACAGGGCCCTGGCCTTGACTTAGTTGGGGAGCTGGTAAAGCAGTTGAACCCAACTAACTGAATGTTGATGTTGTAAAATATGGCATAAGGTGGCTGGCGCCATGGCTCACTATGTTAATCCTCTGCCTTTCGACGCTGGCACACCGGGTTCTAGTCCCGGTCGGGGCTCTGGATTTTGTCCCGGTTGCCCCTCTTCCAGGCCAGCTCTCTGCTATGGCCCAGGAGTGTAGTGGAGG